ATATGAGTGGAGGGCCAAATTCAGTCATCTCTTATGTGTGTTCACTTGGTTCAGAGAACATATATATATATATATATATATATATATACACATATATGTAGAAGACTCGTTATACACGCCGTTGTTATCTGTGTTTTCACATGTCTGCAGTTTCACTTCAGTGTCAGGATCATCCATTTTGTATCCATGACTACAGAGGCTCTGTCATGGTTGTTGAGTGAGTTGTGCGTTCAGCTTCCATGACCTTCCCAACAATTTTGACTCAAGTCATCTCATTTGCTGCTTTTTCGCTGTGGTCGGTGTTCATTCACTGTGCCACTCAGAATTACTGGGTTTTGGGACTTTGTCCATCATCTGGTATTCTAGAAAACATGAGATAATCATGTTTCAGAAACTGTCTGTTTCTGTCCTCAGGTGAGAAGGGAGACATGTTCTCTGTCAGGTCCCGTAGAAAGAGCTAGCCTCAGTCACTGGACAGTCTGTGTCACTACAGTCATATGAATACCTGAGATCAGGTTCTGTTGAAGGGAGATAACAGGAATAGTGTACAGTAACAATTGTGATAGGCATGCAGATCTGAAACTAAGATACAGAGGTTTTTTTAACATATGAAACAAACCCAGCCAACAAATTTAAGTCCATGAAAACCATTGAACAGAATTAATTGGAAAATGTTTTCACAGCATTCTCCAGTTAATCCTATGTATTGGTTTTCATGGACTTGGTTTGTTTCGTAAAAAAATAATCACCTCCCTTTGTATCATATTTTCAAGTCTATGCACACTTCATCACAATTACTATTGTACATATTTCCTGTTATCTCCCATTGACAAAGTCCGGTCTCAGGTATTTATATAGCTGCCATAGTGACATAAGTTGTCCAGTGATGAGGTTAGCTGTTTCTAAGACACCCAACAGAGTAGGTGTCTCTCACCTCACCTGAGGATGGAAACAGATCAGTTTCTGAAATGCTGTGTACTCTAATATTTAAAATACTGGATGATGGACAAAGTCCAAGAACCCAGTAATTCTGAGTCTTATACACCATTGCGTGAACCCCTTGGAATCTATTCATTCAGTGTGTTTCCCATTTTATATTTTTTCAGTATACATGGAAATTTTTTAAAATTCAAGCCGTACATGTAATAAGAGTCACCTGTAAGAACACAACCTTTACAAAGAATTGTCTTGTCTCTATTATAAGAATATGTATTTTGTGCTGCCATTTTCAACATTTTCTTCTCTTTCAGGTATCGCGTGTTGCAGAGTCAATTTCTCTCCTGAATGCAGGACAGTCTTGTTCCCCAAGTTCTTCCTCATCTCCAGTCACTCCACCATCCCTGTCATCATCACCCTCACGCTTCTTTCCATCTACATCAACTTCACGGTTCCGTGTTACACTTGTAGAACCCTCTGCTCCACCTCCCACTGTCACAAGCCCATCGGGCAACATCACTGTTGGCTTTAACTTCAGGAAGAGCATTGCTGACAAAGCATATGAAGAAATCCATAATGTACCCACAGACTTGCAGGAAAATACAGAAACAGCACCAGGAATTGCTGTAACCAGCTCAACAGTGGCAAGTCAGTCGGCCTCACTCATGACGCATCAAGCTCCATTGTCGCAGAATGTGAAAGTGACTGTAAAACTGTTCCCCAGTTCTGACAGCCTAGTCATTGAAAATGAGTCCAATTCATCAGTGGCTTCTGATACATCTGAAGACACAGCTGATATGGAAGTCAGAACTATCATGAATGCATGTAACTTGGAAGGTAGCAGTTGGGTCAGCTGTGAAGGGCAGGATTCTGTAACAGTGTTGGGAGCTGAAAATGAAGTGGCTGTCAGTTCAGACAAGGATGTTCGAACACAGTTTCCATTTGTAGACATTTCCAGTGACAAAACTTTGGTGAACCAAGTAGGCGCAGATAAGGATGTGTATGTGGCTGAACAGAATAGTGAGGGTCCTGCAGAACAGAATTCAGCTACACATTCTGTGAAATCATGTGAACAGTTTGAAAATAGCTTGGGTACTGTGAAACTAGCTGAACAGGTTAATAATACTTCGGGGACTGTGAAGGCAAGCAGAGTTGCGGATAAAAGTTTGTGTACTATGAAACGAGAGGGACAAATTGATGGTAACAGCTTTGGCACTGAGAAGCTAGTTGAACATGTTGATAATAGTACAGGGGCCTTGAAGACAAATGAAAAGACTGGTGATAGTTTGTTTACTATGAAACCAGATGAATGGGTTGGTGATAGCTTGTGTGCTGTGAAACTAGTTGAACAGGTTAATGATTCAGGTACTTTGAAGACAAATGAACATGATGATAGTTTGTGTGTTATGAAGACAGATGACCAGGTTGATAACAGCTTTGGGACCGTGAAACTGGTTGAATCTGTTGATAATACCTCAGGTACAATGGAACTGGATGAATGGATCGATAATAATTTAAGTTCCCAGATCCTGGATGAACAGGCCAATAATAGTTTAATACCTATGAAACCAAATGTGGGTGATGATAACAGTTTGAGTACTGTGAAGTCAGCTGAATGGATGTTGAATGATTTAAATACTGTGACACCAGATGAACAGGTTGATAACAGTTCAGGTAGTTTAAAACAGGATGAGAAGGTTAATTGTAGTTTAGAGAATATGGTAAGGCCATTAGAATCAACACTGAAGCAGCAAGTACAGGTTGAAAACAGCATGAAAGAGATGCCTTCTCAGTGTACTTGGAAAGTCTTGTGGGCAGCCAGTGTGAATCCACAGCCTGTTTCCAATAGTAACACATCTGTCCTAGCCACAGGGCCCCTGGTTAACACTGCTAATGGCGGAAGTGTTCTCTTAAGTAGCTGTCCTCAGAGGACCTTTGAACTTTGTCAAGAGACTGTGCCATCACACACTGCCACACAAGAAGTGAAAACATTAGTAAAACAGAACCCAGGCTTATTGAGGAAAGAGAGAAGGATTTCAAACTGCAAAAACCCTGTTCCAGACATCTTAAATAACAACAACAAAATCAAAGAACTTACAGTTATAGATATTTCAGATGAGAATAGACTGAGGCTTGAGTGTAAGGAAGAAAGTGGTTGTACAAGACATTGTAAAGATGAAAATTATAATGTTCCAAAATTGCGTGAAACAGTTCCTGAAGGGGATGGTACTAAATCAGTTTCTGAGACTTTGAGCAGTAGGAGTTTTGAAGTAGGGACAACTACTGGAGTGAATGAAATTTGTGATTCTAAATCTAACTTCAGTTTGAACAGTAGTCAGGATGGGGATACATTAGAAAAGGATTATACTGAGACATGTCCAGAATCGTTGAAGTTAGCAGGTAGCTCTGATATTGTAGGCAATACATCAGAGTGCACAGCTGAAGAAAGTGACGCAGAGCTTAATATAGAATCAAATGAAGCAAAAGATGCCCCCACAAATGTGGTAAATATTAAACCTGTTACTTGTTGGAAACAGGACAGTGACCAGTTTGGTGTTGACTTTGGTAATGGATCTGCATCAAGTGGTGGACTTTCTAATGACAGGTCATGGTCTCGAAGTTGTGACTCTTCCTTTGTTTCTGTAAAAAGTGTAGCAGCCACAGTGTGTTTAATGGGCAGTTCATCGGAGTTTTCGAGCTATGAAATGGACACCCAGAGGGGACCTGGAGCGGGAAGCCTGCTGTTACCAGACCACAGTGGTAGGTACAGTAAAACTGCATTAAAACTTTCACTCATAGCAACTCTGTTGGAGGTTTACCTGCAGCTCAGCTTAACCATATTTAGCAGTATATTAGAGGTGTATTGTATTTTACTGTAAAGATGATTAGCAAATGATCTACAAACTATTTGCTAAAATATAAGCTGCCCTTAAATATAGGTCACACCCCCAGAATTGCATGATCAGGAATTTGAAAAGAATATTGTGACATGACAGCTAAAAGTAGAGATAGTGTATCAAATAAATGCAGCAATTATTAGGCAACGGTACTATAAACGTGTGACCCTGGAAGTGAATAAAGACAGTAAAAAGGAACCATTGGACATGGTGTTTTCTATGCAGTCCATGCTGAGGTTTTAGTATAACAAAGACCCACTGGACAAACTAGTCAATGAAATCAGTCATGAGGTAAAAATCAGCAGCTATTAGTCTTGAATTGCATTGGTGGAAGCTGCTACCTAGCAATGACTAGCAAACCAACAGAAGACTTTATGTTTGCTGTAATTGTAGTGAAATTAAATGGGACACATCAGCTGCTGGTCTGTGCTGATGATGTGAATCTGCTGACTCATAATGTAGATACCATAAGAAAAACACAAATACTTTAATTGACACTAGTAAGGAAGTTGGTCTACAAGTAAACATAGAGAAAATTAAGTATATGTTACTGTCTCATCACCAGAATGTAGGGCAAAATCATGACATGAAGATAGCTAACAAATGTTTTAAAAATATGGCACAGTTCAGATATTTTGAAAGAACTATAACAGACAGAAACCTGATTCAGGAGGAAATTAAGAGGAGGTTGAATTCAAGTAATGCTTGCTACCATTCAGTCCATAACCTTTTGTCTTCTCATCTGCTGTCTAAAGACATAAAAATTAGAACATACAAAACTATAATTTTGCCTGTGGTTCTGTATGGTTGTGAAACTTGGTCTCTGACATTAAGGGAGGAACATGGACTGAGGGTGAGTACTGGGTGCTCTTGGACCAAAGAGAGATGAAGTGATGGGAGAGATTTGAGAAAACATCATAAGGAGGAGCTTCATAACTTGTACTCTTTGCCAAGTATAATTAGAATGATAAGTCATGGAGGCTGAGCCTGGCAGGGCATATAGTATGAATGTTGGAGGAGGAGGCGGGGAAGAATAATGCATATAGGATATTGGTGGGAAAGCCAGAAGGAAAAAGACCAAGACATAGGTGGAAGGATAATATTAAAATGGATCTTAGACATAATAGGATGGGATGGTATGGACTGGATTGATCTGGCTTAGGATAGAGACCAGTGGAGGGCTCTTGTGAACATGGTAATGAACCTTCAGGTTCCATAAAATGCTGGGAATTTCTTGAATAGCTGCACAATTGGCAGTTTCTCGAGAATGGCTCAGTTCCATGAGTGATTTATAAGTATTCAGTAAATCCAGTTATCAGTCCAAACAACGTGTGGTCACTAATGCATGCCAGTATTTTATGCACTTAACATTATTACATGTGGCAATGTAACAGCTCAGAGTAAGCTAATTTCACATAGCCCCATACTGTTACTCTTACCCCCCACCCCTTGGCACTACAGCCCCAGTGGGTCTAGGCCTACCTCCATGAACTTCTCCGTTCACTTCGGTTTTTCTAGATCTTACACGTTCGGTAGTACTCCTTGGGCTGGTGATCAGCTCGTCGCAAGGCCTCTACCTGTACACAAACACAGGAAAACACACACACAAACTAAACATCCATGCCCTGAGTAGGATTTGAACCCACGATCCCGGTTTCCAAGCGAGCGAAGACAGTACATGCCTTAGACCACTCAGCTACCGTGACCGGCATGCTGTTACATACATTACTTAAAACACATTAATTTAATTTTGGGGGTTGACACGAAACTGCAATAACATCAGAAAAATAGACAGGATGCATTTCCATTAGTACTCCAGTGGTTGGTAATATTGTTCCAGACTATGTTCACATCATTGTGACACTTTATGGAAGCTAAAGCACCATCTTTTGCTAATAAAACCAAACTATGTACCTTTACCAGATCTACGGAATTCAGTTACATTTGTTTCCATTTAGGGACTTCTGTAAGCCATGTCCTGATTTTAAAAGCATTAATTGTGGGACTAAGCCATGTCTTGATTTTAGAAGTATTAATTGTGGGAATAAAATGCAGTTTATATTCAAGCAAGTGTAGTACATTCAAGGAACTGCAAAAGGTGACTACACCCCTGGTTGCACACTAGATCATAGATGATTGTGACAATCTAACACCCACTCCTTTAATCAGATCTAACAGACAGTAAAAGCAGGTTGTCTCATTGCTTAACTAATTAAGCCATGACTACCATGAAGACATATGGGGGAATGGAGGTATAACTCCACCAGTCTTGACATAGGCACTAGATGGAGGTGAGTGGTCAACTTCACACACCTGCCGCTTCTCCCTTTGGAAGCAGCCCCTGGTACCCATTAAAAAGGAATCTGAGTGGGCCCCAGTGTTGGTCTGGGTGATACAGAGAAGAGAAAGATTGTGTGCACTGCTGGGACTCGTGCCCCAATTCCTTTGCCACCCTTCCCATAGCCTTGTCACTATACCAACATAGCTATCTTGACTCCCACATAACTAAAAATAAGTTTAAATCTATACCAATTCAGTTTGATTCTGTTTTAGTGGAGGCATCAGTGCAACCTGCAAGGAAAGAAATGGAATTGCTTCAGAATCTAGAACTCCACCCTAGCAATACCATATAGGGCATGTCCATGCCCCTGGTGACCAGTGTGGCTTTATTCTGCTGCACAAAGAGGCAAGTAAATGACTCATTTGGAATGAACAGACATGGTTTGTCAAAAAATATATATATTTTTTTCATTGTTTATACTACTCTAAAGGTTTTTTATTTCTCAGAACAAAGAATAAGAACTTTATTTTTAAAGAAACATAAAATGTTTTAAATGCCCGATATTGTTTAAGAAATTATGTCAGAAATACAGACTTTTATAAAAAGCATAAGTGGATATACACATTTTATTTATAAATCTGTTGTGGGTGTATAAATATATATANGTGTATAAATATATATATATACTCATGTGTGTGTGTGTGTGTGTGTGTGTGTGTGTGTATATATATATATAATGATCATAGCCTCTATTAATTATTTCAGAAACCAGTCTTCAGATATCTTACCATCTTATGGATGGGTGTGATGCCCTTTACAAATGTTATAAAATATTTTGGTAAACCTATTTCATGTACTTAGGTTAATGATGGACAGAGTTTATTGTAATGATGTCTCTGGTTTGTTAGCTGGATTGTTATACATAGTAGATTTATTTAAATGATGTTATCTTGATAATGAATAAAGTCCTGTATATATACACAGAAATGTTTTTGTATAGATATCAGGTGATGCATAATGAAAGTGTATGCTTCTGCCTCACTCAAGTGATGGGGCATACATCACAGGAATGTTTTGTTGCATGGATAAGAGTGTGACTGATATTAGACTTTTCTATATGAACTAGATTGTTTTCTCCCAAGTTACAAGTGATTAAAATGCCAAAGCAAAAGCTCATGTTGCTGCCTCAGATCATAAGATTATTCCATATCAATTAGAAATATAATATCCTTATATCTGATTGAGCCTTCCATCTATATTGTTTTATTATGTAATAGCAGAAAACATGAAATTTCGGGAATGCTTGCTACCATTTAGTTCAGAACATCTTGTCTCCTCCTCTGCTATCTAAAAATTTAATTTGCATGTAGTTTTGTGTGGGTGTGAGACATGGTCTCTCACATTAGAGGAAGGAAATAGGTTGAGGGTATTTGAGAACACAGTGCTGAGGACAGTGTTTGAACCTAAGGGGAAGGATGTAACATGAGGTTACAAAGAATTGTGTAATGAGGTGTTTCATAATTTGTAGTCCTTGTCAGATAGTAGAAAGAGTAGATTAAGGAGGATGAGATGGATGGATCATGTAGTACACATGGGGCAAGAAGAGAAATGCATACAAAATTTTGTAAGGGAAACATGAAGGAATCTGTGAGAGGTGATTATTATTTAATGTGTAATGTCACTGATTTAAATTTTGTTAGGATATCTGTCTGATATAAGTAGACAGTTTGTTGAATTTGAAGTTCTCATGTCAGTGACTATGAAGAGTACTATCTTCTGAGATGTGACACTGTGTAGTCTGGAGAAATTTGCTGATGTTTCAGAGGAACATGCTGCTTCCATCAAGCAAAGAAGCTAGTAGCAAGCAGAGAGAAGATGGAGGCAGTGTGTTTCTTTTATGTGTTTGTAAACATTAGAAAATATTACTTTTCTTATTGTTGTGGGAACTTCAGTTTTGCCAAAAGAGTTCTTATGTCTATAGGGAATTTTCTAGTTCTGATGGCAGCACTTTATTTAAGGATCACATTTTTTACAATTGAAATAATTCAGCTCTACATTTATAGAAAAATAATTTTATATTTTAATTATGGAAAATTATGATATTTATTTCACACTCAACTGAACTGAAAATACATTAATTCACACTATCTGAATTTACATCACGAGCAAAACAGCTCATTTATCAGTACTTCCAGGCTATGCCACAACGTAGGTGGTTAGTCAGTGGCTTCTCACTGTGGTTACCTGTATTCAATCCGAGGTCAGATCATGTGAGATTTTTATTGGACAAAGTGGCACTGGTGTGGGTTCTCTCAGACTACTTCAGTTTCCCCTGCCGGTTCTCATACTACCAACTGCTGCACATTCATTAATAATTCTGTCATGTGACACTATATAGTCTCGACACACACAGTGTCATTAATAGGGACCAGATTTTTATGCTCTAATAATCCCTTAAATATGTTATGCATTTATGCATGAAAAACTTCCAAAATATGCACTAAAATATGCCCATAAAAATTTATACCAAATATTAAAATTGCTTTTACATTATTTTAAGACCAGCAAATCAATATTTAAGTTCATTTTATGTAATCACTGAATGATTCCTTTGCAATAAAAAGCTATACTTAAATACAAATCACGCAACAAAGCCAACATATTTCATTACAAATTTAAAAAATCAATGGTGCTCACATTTAGCTCTCCGAACTTTCAACTTCTCTTCTGTTGCAGTTCACAATTACTAAATGTTTTAGGTTTTCCATAGTTAGTCACCTCCTATTGTCTTGTAAGATGTCCTTATAGCGAGAAAAACTTCTTTCCACCTAACAGGAATTTAGGGGCGCATGTACAAAAGCCGCTATTTGCTCCACTGTTAGGGATTTTTTACTTGGCAGTTCAGTACGTTTACGGGCTAAAATTTCTTCAATTTCACAAATTTGTTCATATCCTGGATTTTTTTAAAGAATGCTGTGTACTTTTTCCTTTACTACTTCATCAACTCTTCCAGTAACCGAATTTGATTTGGAAACAGTGGTTTTGAAAACACTTAATGACTGATACAAAGTAGTATTGCTATTGTTTCCCTCCAGTGAGGAAATGGCGGATGGAAGATGAGAGAAGTGAGCAGATTCATCATCATCATCATCATCATCATCATCATCACTGGCACGACAGCCCTTTGTGAGCCCTGGCCTTCCTCAGGATTGCTCGCCATTCTTCTCTCTTCGATGCTACATTCCTCCAGTTCTTTATACCCAAAATTCTTATGTCCTGCTACACACATTCTTCCCATCTTAACCTTGGACTTCCCACTCTCCAATTTCCTTCTGGAGCAGATATATAGGAGAGATTAGTTTCTAGTTCTGCGGTTTTTAGTACATCTTGGGCAATTTGAATTGATGCTGCACATTTGGGATCAAATGTATTCATGACATTTCTTTTCTGTATGGCTCTTTAACAAGTACCTTATTCACAGAAGACACCAACTTGTCAACAAGCGGGAAAATTTGCACGAATTGTTTCTGCAACAAGGTGCAACCCATGGGCAAGGCAAGTCAAATCTGTCATATTTGGAAATATAACTTCAAGAGCAGTACCGGCTTTCATTGTATAACTTACGGCATCAGTCACAAAGAGCAACACGCACTCATACTGAATGCCATTCGGCCATAGCAAATTCATGGAATTGATAACAAATTCGGAAACTGCGGAGCTATTTGTGGTTTCAAATTGCTCTACCACAAGACAATATGGGATAGATTGTTCAGTCTTATTAAGGGATCCAACTATACAATTTGCAATAAACCATCCCTCACAATCTTGTGTTTCGTCCGATTCATACCCACACAAAATTATCTTGAATCTTATCTCTAATGCTTTCAATTGTAAGATCGTAACACTGCTTCACTTAATTTTTGCGCACAGTAGATTTATCCGGCACTTCGCACTATATATACTTCTATATGAAGTTTCTCAGAGTAGGATTGATTAGTTTCCACAGCGGAATATCTGCCGCTACAAAGGCTTCGCATAAATCAAAGGAAAACTGTGAGAAACTATTATTAGAAAATTGACTAAGCAATTTTTGAACAGGAGCACTTTTCGTGGATTTTATTTTAATATTCTCTTTGTGTATATTAGTGTTCAAATGCTGAAGCACTTGAAAGCTTTTTTCACAACCAGCTGTTTTCTCGCATGCTCAGCAATAAAGAATATTGTTATCCATACTTATCATCTCCCCTTCAACCTCCAGTTAAAACATCTGTAATTTAGTTTTCTGACTTATTTTCACTTTCCGCATGAGTACAGAAAGCTAAACAAACTTAACCACAGACTAGTCACCACTAATGTGAATGGCCCCCAGCTTCAAATGAAGAAGTGTAACGAACCTCATGGAGACTTCGGAAATAAATAAGTGAAGTCCCTTATCGGTTGAATAGTATTACATTGATAGTGGCTTCATGTGAATGCTTCTGACTATTCGCGGCCACTTTGATGCTACATGGATGAGGCAAGTTATGAGTAGAGGGATCGGGGAAGTCCCGTCCTGGGTATTGCATCAAAAACATGAATCATGATGAAATGTTGAGTCAAATATGCAACATATTCTAATACGGAAAAGAAATATATGATAAACGTTTTAAAAAGGAAATATGCAGTAAAAATAGAGATCTTCGAAAATATGATGCTTATTCATAAAACAGGCAAAATATGCATTTATATGCACCATCAAACCATGTCCAAAATTTAAGAAATGAAGTAATTCATACATATATCCAAGCGAGCATACTTTCTGGTTGCAAGAAAGAAATATGCATTTGCATTAATATCCGGTCCCTAGTCATTAAGTAACAACTAAAGAAAAATCAGAGCTTGTAGCACTGTATTCTCACAAGTTGCACTTCACTACAAATGGCCATGATAACAGATATTGTGGGAATTTATGTTTGTTTTTTTTCTTCTTCTTCTTCTTCTTTATCTTTTTGTTATAAAGTTAGGAGCATGCAGTAGCGTAGTTTGTTGAGGTATTAAGCTCCAAGCCGGAAGGTCACAATTTCGATTCCCAATGAGGTCATTGGATTTTTTCAGTTCACCTAATCCTTCCAGCTGCACTATGGCCCTGGGGTCGACTCAGCCTCCAACAGAAAGGAGTACGAGGAATCTTCCTGGGGGTAAAGGGCAGCTGGCACGTAAGGCTGACAACCTTACCACCATCTGTGAGCCAATAGTCTATAAAATGTGGGAGCCTTGTCATCTCACAACCACATGGTCCTCCATGGCCTGTTACAAGATAGCTTTACCCTTTATCATTGTTAAGTTTGATATTATTGCAGTTTTTCCAATTTTTTTAGGCACTGGTCAGTCTCAGAGTGAAGCTCATAATGCACCTCTTCAGTTATGACCTTATTCATATCTCAAACTCTGTGCTTTCCGGTACTATAAACATGTCAAGAGACAGATACTATTTCATTTTAAACAAACTTTGTTTATTCCGTGCACCAAAAAAGTTGTACAAAAGATGGACAAACCTTGCAGCCTGTCTGTACAACCTGATTGCATCATCATTGCACTCATTTCTGTCCTAAAAATGTAGCCAATATGTTCCTGCTAAATGTTGGTATCCATTTGCAATATTGCTAGGTGTCATGGCCTAGAAAGCCTTAAAAACCCA